TGACGAACACGAGAAGGAGAAGAAGGAGGAGGAGGTGGCGGAAAGGGCGGAGGAGGAGGACGGGGAGGAGGAGGAGGAGGAGGAGCAGGAAGAGGAGGAGGAGGACGAGGACGAGGAGGAGGAGGATGAGGAGGAAGAGGAGGAAGACGAGGAAGACGAGGAAGACGAGGAAGACGAGGAAGACGAGGAAGACGATGAAGACGACGAGGACGAGGAAAACGAAGAAGACGAGGAAGACGAGGAGGAGGAGGAGGAGGAGGAAGAGGAGGAGGAGGACGAGGAGGAACAGGAGGAAGACGAGGAAGACGAGGAAGACGAGGAAGACGAGGAAAACGAGGAAGACGAGAAAGACGAGGAAGACGAGGAAGACGAGGAAGACGAGGAAGACGAGGAAGACGAGGAAGACGAGGAAGCGGAGGAGGAGGAGGAGGAGGAAGAGGAGGAGGAAGAAGAGGAGGAGGAGGACGAAGAGGGGCCACGCCCCGCCTTGCCTCGCCGCGCCTTGCCCCGCCTTGCCTCGCCGCGCCTCTCCCGTGCGGCCGCGGGCGTGGCGGGGGGCCTGACCCACCCCGCGGCCGCTGCGGCCGGGCGCCGCGGCCGCGGGCCACGGTCGGCCCCCTCGTCAGCGTTTCCTTTCTTTCAGGTCGTCCCGCCGAGGGGCCCCCTCCTTTCCCCTTCCTCCTCCTCCTCCTCCTCCCTCCTCCTCCTCCTCCCTCCTCCTCCTCCTCCTCCTCCTCCTCCCTCCTCCCTCCTCCCTCCTCCCTCCTCCCTCCTCCCTCCTCCTCCTCCTCCTCCTCCTCCTCCTCCTGATCCTCCTCCTGCTCCTTTCAGGCCAGTCCTCGACGCATGGCCCCCTTCGGCGCCAGGAGGCGCTGGGAAAATCAGCGACGCGAGCTGCTAGGCAAATCCCCACGTTGCCAACCCACCCTCTCGTCCAGCACGCCTTGCCCGCAGGGCAGCCGGCGCCGCCTTGGCGCATCGGTTCGACAGAAAAGAGGGGCGAATTGGCTCGCCCTTTGCCCCCCCTCCAGACTGCCCAGTCTGTGCCATCAGTTGCTTTCTCGCTGGCGGCTGGGCGTCGGCGCTCATCATCGGCGCCGCCACCGTTGATTTTCAATATGGCGGGCACCACCCCGTGATTCGCCGAGCAGGGAAAGTATTGCTTTAAACGCGCGCCCCCCACTGATGATTTAGTCGCAAGCTAACATTAATTAAGATGGCGCAGCAGCGCGCAGAAGTCATGGAGACGGACGCAAACGAAGGCGCAACGACAGACGGAGAGGGGATCGGGATCAAAGAAGGCGGAAAGTCTCAATGAGCGAGAGTATGCGAGCAGGGAGGCCAAGGTCGACGGGACGAAGGCCGATACACCAGGCGCGCACGTCTGAGTGCTATGCGACACGCGCGGAACATGTCCAACAAAAGTAGATGGAGATGGACGACCAGGCGTACGGCGAATTCACAGACCACTGACGCGAACATCATAGAGTGGAGAAAAAGAGGCATATGTATATACACTACACATTTATAGTGAGAGAGAAAGAGAGAGAGAGAGAGAGAGAGAGAGAGAGAACAAACAAAACATAGCAAGCAAACAACAAACACGCGGGAAACAATATGTATATACATAGACATAGAGAAAGAGAGAGAGAGAGAGAGAGAGAGAGAGAGAAAGACCGAAAGAGGGACCGAGAAAGATACCGAGAGAGAGAGAGAACCACAACACAGGCACGTCATGAAACGGAGATTCGAGGACAAGGTGGAGCAGCACAGGACGGGGTACCTCACAGAAAATCACAAACATCAGAGAGGGTATGATGCAACGAAACAGCAGAACTTCGAGAGTACCGAATGAGCGCATGAGATGCGAGGCTGGGTTGGGGCCTACCTGCGCCAACACCAAGAAAACCATGTCGAGGCGCAGAGCTGGATTAGACTCGAGCAGGAGCACATGCAAAGGGCAGGGTTCGATGAGCTGGCACATGCTAGGGCCATCGCGAACAAGAACATGATGGAACCGAACTACCATGGACAGCAGCGCGAGCAGCGGGCGGGGCACCGCAGTCGCGGCAGAGCCGGAAGACGGCGCAGGACGCACAGCCGACTAGTTTTGGCGAGACACGAGCATGCGATCCACGAGCGCAATCAGGAATACGATGTCAGAAGAACGGCGGAGGCGAAACTGCAGGAGCAGAATCTGGCGCCGTAGTGGACCAACACCCACTTGGATGGAGTAGAAAGCGCCATGCCTGCTGCTGGGAAACGGGGAATTCATAAAACATGGCAGTCGCAATTGGATACGGAGTTTCTGAAGGCCATGCGGCCCTGGGCGACGGCATGCGGCAGGAAAAACCACGTGCTGCGACGGTGTCAGGCTAATTCGCCAGGCTCAGAGACGCGCCGGCCACCGCGCCGCCGGCGCTTTCGGCGGGGCCAGAGGCTGCTTCGCCTTCGGCAGTGGCAAACCTCGGATCCCGGGTGATCGCGAAGGTCAAGTCGCAGCAGCTCGGGGGAAGGGGCCGAGCGAAACGCCCGCTGTAGCTATCGACCAATCGCACGCCGCCGCCCCCGAGGCCTAGAACGGGAGGATAGGGGGCGGCGTCCTTGATTTGGACGTTGTTCGCGCGAAGTGTTTCCGCGCGGGGGGGCGGTCGCCGCGAGCCAGTCGGAGTAAAACTGGGAGATGTTGGGGCGCGAGACGGCCGGGAGTTGGAGACTGGGCGGGGCGGGCAAGGACGGGGCCAACGCCGAGCGGCGCCGCGCGGGCCGCGGAGGAGGAGACGGGCGGAGAGGAGGAGGCGGCGGGTCGGCGAACGCATCGCAGGCGCGAGCCTGTTGGAACCCACGGCAGCCCCGGCGGTCGAGGCCGACGCCGCGATTGCACCGCCCCCAGCCCCGCCACCAACTCCTCCAGGGGTTCAGGGCACGCCAATTCCGACATCGACGGCGGAACCGTTCGAGGGCGTCGGGGAGCGCGAGACCACGAGCAAAGCGGCATCATCGGGGCCAGGAAACAAGGCGCCAGGAGGAGGGCCGCGCGGAAGGAAGAAGAGACGACCGAGGTCAGCGTCGCAACCGCCCCGCTCTACAGCGACAGCAGCTCCGACTGGGTGCAACGTCGGGATTGCCGACGTCGGCGATGACTTTGAGGGGGCCGAGGACAGGGGGCCACGCTTCGACGAGAAGGATGATGATAATAATAATAATTATAATAATAATAATAACAATAATAATAATAATAATAATAATAATAATAATAATAATAATAATAATAAAGGGCAATGACTTTGAGTGACAGGGTGACAGGGAGCGCGGGCCCCTTGCCTGGGAGGGCGCCCCTGAGCATGACCAACGACAGTCGAAGGGCGCGGGGGTCAACGACGCCCTCGCGACCAGCGGAAGGCGGGCAGTCTGGGGCGAGAAGAGGAAGGCGCATTTCGAGCGGGGCCTGAGCCTTGGCGAGGAAAGCGAGGCGACGCAGCGAGAGGGTTCGACAATTTCAATGCCGCGCGGGCGCCCCGCCACTTTTCTGCCGGCGCGGCGCCGCGCGCGAAAGCGGTCCAGCTACGGGCGGGCTTCAGAAATCGCAGCGCCGGGCCCGATATCGCAGCGTCGGGGCCGGCCAATTTGGCGATGGAGTTGGCGCCCACAACCGCGCGCGCGGGCAGATGCAGTGGAGGCCCAACGAAAAAGATAATGGCATCGTGGATTTCGGGGCGACCAGAGGGGGACCAGAGAGCTTGCGAATGGGGGGTCTTGGATAGCACCGCGTCGGAGCTCGCTGCGCCGGCGAGGGCGCAGCCGTGCATCTTGGCGACAGGGAAGAGCAAAGGCGCGATGCAGTCGATCGCCGGCGACTCGCATCGCGAGATCAACGCGGCAAAGGGGAAGCGGTTAGACACCCCGGTGCCCGAGCGATCAAGAGCGGTCTCTACGACCACAGGGAAGGGGGGCGCTACCATGACCTACAGACTCGACATTCCGGATCACATGAGCTTGACCCACGGAACGAGTTGGTGGGCCCCACGGCGAGGATTGTAGTTAGGTAGTAGTGCGCAGCGGTGCGAAAATCATGGAGCGATCCGCGGAGGAGCAGGAGCAGGAGCGGGAGCAGAAGGAGGAGGAGGAGGAGGAGGAGGAGGAGGAGGAGAAGCAGAAAGTGGCGGGAGTGGAAGGGGGGGGGGGGCAGGGGGAGGGGGGAGGTGGAGGGTGAGGTTGACGGGCAGCAAGAGGATGGAGAGGAATACCAGAGTAAACCCTGGATGCGTGAAACATGTTTCGTGATTGGTGTGCCCTGAACACTACGGATCGAAGTGATTGTTGCGCCCTGACATTTCTAATTCGCGCCAGAACGCGACTGTTGCGACGTCAACCGTAAGAATGTGTGAAAGTGGCGAAATTTGTCAAGACGAAGGCTCGCGGCGCTCAGGCGAACCCACCGTTTGAAAAGGAATCGCCCTCCATGCGTGAAACGCTGGCAAATGTTTGAGACTAATGTGCGCGGCGTTCAGGCGAGAGCCACCGTTTGAAAAGGAATCGCCCTCAATCCGTGAAACATATTCAAGACGATTGCGTGCGGCGTTCAGGCGAGATCAGCATTCTGAAATCCACTCGCCCTTCATCCGTGAAGCTCTTTGCCAATATTCAGCTTCAGGGTCTCCAACGGTGAGGACGTCTCTGGCGAAACGCCCGGCCCGCCCTCCCGACACGCTTGGGGGGGCGACAGGGAAGAGACATGTATAAGGAATTGGGTTGGAACTGGGATGGAGGAGGAGGACATGAGGAGGCGGAGGAGGGAGGAGGAGGCGGAGGAGGGAGGAGGAGGGCAAGAGAAGGAGGCGAAGGAGGAGGCGGAGGAGGCGGAGGAACCAGGAAGGAATTGGGATGGAGGCGTAGGCGAGGGAGGCGGAGGCGGAGCGGCAGGAGGAGCTGGGTGTCGACGAGAGGGCGGCGGAGCAGCAGAAGCAGGATGCCGTCGACAAGAGGCGGGGCGCGCCGAGGCCTCGGCGCACGGGGCCAGCGCCCCGCCGACGAGCGAGGAGGTCGAGTGGGCGGCCGTGCCGGAGGACGGCGCGTGTGGCCCCCGCGCGGCTTGCGCGGCCCTCCTCTGTTTGGAGTCCTCCTCTCCTCGTCCTCCTCCTCCTCCTCCTCCTCCTCCTCCTCCTCCTCCTCCTCCTCCTCCTCCTCCTCCTCCTCCTCCTCCTCCTCCTCCTCCTCCTCCTCCTCCTCCCCTCTCCTCCTCCTCCTCCTCCTCCTCCTCCTCCTCCTCCTCCTCTCCTCCTCCTCTCCTCTCCTCGCCCCCCCTCCTCCTCCTCCTCCTCCTCCTCCTCCTCCTCCTCCTCCTCCTCCTCCTCCTCCTCATCCTCCTCCTCCACGGCTCACGCTTCCTCAGTCCAGGGCGCCCCGAGGGGGGGCATCGTCAGGCCCAGGAGGAGGTTCTGCAGCGCCACGGCCCTGCTCCTCGAGCGCCAGGTCTCGCCAGCGCGGGGCAGTTTTGGCTGCGGGGCCGCTGGTGAGCGTCCTTCGCTCAAGGAGTACGTACCAGCCCGAAGCGTACACGCCGGTCGTTGAAAGCAGGTTTCTTGGGGCTTCGATTCGAGGTCCCAATCTGCGTTTGCAGCTTTCATATTGTAATGGCCTCCGGCCAGTGCCGCCGATCCGCGGCGCTCCCGATGCGTGTGGGAACGGACGCTGACGACCACGACGACCGACGACCGGGTCAACGACGGACGATGATGACGACGACGTCCATCCTCCCCCCGCTGCCCTCCCCGGTTTCATCTTGGACCCCCCCCCGCTTGAGCTCGACCGCCCCCTCCGTCCCCGCTCGAGCTTCCTCCTTGGACCCCCCCCCCCCCCGCTTGAGCTCGACCCCCCCCCCGTCCTCGCTCGAGCTCCCCCCCCCCCTCGATTCCTGCTTGACTCGACCCCCCCGTTCGACCCCCCCCCCATCCTCCTCGAGCTCCCCCCCCCTTGATTCCTGGACCCCCCCCCCGCGCTGACCCCCCCCCCGCTTGAGCTCACCCCCCCCCTCCCCGCTCGAGCTTCCTCCTTGGACCCCCCCCCCGCTTGAGCTCGACCCCCCCCCCTCTCCTCGCTCGAGCTCCCCCCTCCCCCTCGATTCTGGACCCCCCCCCCCGCCTGACCCCCCCCCCCCCGCTTGAGCTCGACCCCCCCCTCCGTCCCCGCTCGAGCTTCCTCCTTGGACCCCCCCCCGCTTGAGCTCGACCCCCCCCCGTCCTCGCTCGAGCTCCCCCCCCTCCCCCCTCGATTCTTGGATCGACCCCCCCCCGTCCTCGCTCGAGCTCCCCCCCCCTCTCTCGATTCCTGGCCCCCCCCCCGCGCTGACCCCCCCCCCCCCCCGCTTGACCCCCCCTCCCCCGCTCGAGCTTCCTCCTTGGACCCCCCCCCCTCCGCTTGAGCTCGACCCCCCCCCCCCTCTGTTCGACCCCCCCTCCCCGTCCTCGCTCGTGCTCCCCCCCCCCCTCGATTCTTGGACCCCCCCCCCCGCGCTGACCCCCCCCCCCCGCTTGAGCTCGACCCCCCCTCGTTCCCCGCTCGAGCTTCCTCCTTGGACCCCCCCCCGGCGCTTGAGCTCGACCCCCCCCGTCCTCGCTCGAGCTCCCCCCCCATCTCGATTCTTGGACCCCCCCCCCCGCTGGAGCGTTCACTGAATTGCGTGGATAATTCGCTGGATCCCGACCCCCCCCCCGGAGCGAAGCTTGAGCGAGCTCAAGCCCACGCTCTCAGAAACTCACACGCCGGATCGGCGGACTTCAAGAGTCGAGTGGTTCCCCTATTCCTTCCTCTTCAGGTGGCGGGCGGAAGCCCAATTTACTTCCAACGCCTTCCTACTTCATGCTTCTATCCATTTGTTATGTCCGACGTGTATGCATGTCCCTATGTTTGGCATCATCTTTTAACAATGCCGATCTTGAGGATTCCCTAAGTTCTCGAGGGCGCATCCCTGATCGTCATCGCCTCTGGGCCTGTCAATCTCAGGGACGGGGTAAGGCCGACACTAGTGAAAGGAGATGCGAGCATCAGTCGGCACGAGCGACGTAGGTACTGGAAAAAGTTTAGCAAAGACGACATCAGTTCCTCGCAGTCTTGCACAGAAAGGGGTGTCGGGGTCGCGGCCGTCGCAGTCCCTTTGAGAACAGGTCGCCTGCCCATCAGCGGCCGCTGCTGGTTCTAGACGTTATTTGATGTTGGGCATCGTCGCCATTATTTCCCTACGGTAGGTTCGTGCCGTGTCGACCGGCGGCGACCCCGCCAGCGGCGTTCAACGTTGAACGCCGCGAGCGACCCAAAATCGCTCGATGTAAAACGATTTAGACGTTTCGGAAACGGCCGATCGTTCAAGGTTGAACGATCCCCGCGGTGTCAGAAACCAACGCCGAAGTCGGCACGACACGAACCTAACGTACCCGATTCGGGTGTGCCAAATCAGGGAAGCAACATCTACACATTAGTCACGTCGACCGTCCTGGAGAGCCCTCGTCGTCTCGGCCGGATGATTCTCAAACGTATGGTCGGCGTGCACCTCGGGAGAGGGCCAGGAGCGGCGGGAGATGCCTCCAGAGGATGGGTTCGAGGAGTAAAATATTCTCCATATTTTCCCATATGTTCTGGGATTGTGTCCCCCCCCACTTCCCATATTTTCCCATATTTTCTGGGGAGGACAGAGGTTGCCAAACGTATTGAAAGTGTGTTGCCAGTTCCTGGTCTCCAGGAGCTTCTGATGAGGATCTCCAGGGGGGTCCTCTTGTTCCTCCTTCATCCTCCATGGTCCTCCGCGTCATCCTCGTCGTCCTCTTTCATTCGACCTTCTAAATCACCAGTGTTTTTCCATCGCCCTTCTCCGTGGTCCTCCTCATATTCTTCGTCCTCGTCCTGTTCATCTTCCTCCTCTTCCATGCTCAATCGTCCTCTTAGTGATGGTCGTCCTCCTGGATATTTCATCTTGGTTTTCCGCCTTTGCCTTCGTCCTCCCCCTCGTCCATCTTCTAGATACCATTATCCCACTGTCTATCTCTTCACCGTTCCTCCCTTCCTCCTTTCCGAATCAGCTGACCATCTCGGAGGTTGGAAGGGGATGAGAAGGCGGCCTCCCTTCATTCCGTGTCGTCGTCCACTCCCCATCCTCAGCGGTCGATGCCGTAGTTTCGGTGTTCCGTGTTCTATCCTTTTCCATGTTGTTTTCCTCCATTTGTTCCGTCTGCGGATCGGGACAGGGGGAGGGAAGGGCGTCGAGGCAGCGTAGGTGGGAGAAGGGAGGATGGAAGATGGACGAGGATGACGACAACTGAGGAGGGGGGGGAACCATGATGGAGGAGGTGGCCCCTCAGGATAACCAAGAGGAAAGGGAGGAAAACCATGTGAGATAGGGGGGAGAAGCATCATGGGTGCGAACGATGGCGGAGTAAGGATGACTGAGGAGACAGAACTGGGGAGGCGGGCCATACCTCGAGAACGGAGAGGGAGGAGGAGGAGGAGGAGGAGGAGCACGACGACGAAGACGACGATGAAGATTCTGACCAGCATCAGCCGAAGACGTCTGCCAGGGGTGGTCATGGCCGAGGGTGCCCCCGCTCTTCGCGCCGTCTGGGACCCCCCCCCATGGGGCCCTGCTGGGCCTCTTGGGGGGTGCTCTGGAGGCCTGCTGGACGCCCGCGCGAGCCTGCTGAGCTCGCCTCTCCTCCTCCTCCTCCTCCTCCTCCTCCTCCTCCTCCTCCTCCTCCTCCTCCTCCTCCTCCTCCTCCTCCTCCTCCTCCTCCTCCTCCTCCTCCTCCTCCTCCTCCTCCTCCTCCTCCTCCTCCTCCTCCTCCTCCTCCTCCTCCTCCTCCTCCTCCTCCTCCTCCTTCCTCTGTGCAAGTCCGGCTGCGCCCTGTTCTGATTGGGCTCGAAGATGCCACAAGAAGAGAGGCCTGCTGGGCCGCCCTGCAGGGGCTGTGGCCGCTCTGGGCCCTCCTTGGCTTCCCGATGGGGTGCCCTTCAGGCCTCCCGGGCCTCCGTGCAGGGGACGGGGCCATTTGGGGCCGGGGCTCGAGCTCAGCGGTGTTTTTGGGCGACGTCGTGGACGGTTTTCCGTCCTGACTTCGCTTCGCGGCGAAAAAGGGCAGAGCGAAGACGGAGCGAAGGCAGAACGAACGCAAACCGAAGACGAAAACGAAGAACATTACGAAGACGGAGCGAAGGCAGAACGAACGCAAACCGAAGACGAAAACGAAGAACATCGTTTAGCCCGAGCCCTGCTCTGAGCCAGGGCCACCTGATGGCAACACCCGACCCGCGCAGGCCGGGCCTGGGGTCGCTGGCGCGGGCGCGGCGGGCGCGGTCACACCCTCGTCCCGGGGAGGGTGTGGGCAGGCCAGCTGTGCGGTCCTCGTGCTCCTCGTCCTCGTCCTCGTCCTCTATCATCCTCCCCAGACCCCCTCGAGTAATGAAAAAAACATGACGGGAGGTTTTTCCTAATTTTCGGCCTCTGGGGGCCCTCGCCGGGCCTCGGGAGCGTCAAAAAACGACATAGGATGCAAAACCGGTCATGGGGAAAGGGTCGGGACCTCTGGGGGTCGACGTAACGAAAAAATCATTACGTCGGGGGTCTGGGTCGTCATCATGGTCATCCTTGCCCTGGTCGTGCTCATCCTCCTCGTCCTCGTCCGGGAAGGCGCTGGTGGCCCGCCCTGCCACGGCAGGGCGGGCCTGCGAATTCGGTCGCCGCCCTTTCGCCAGCGCCCAGGGAGGGAGAGTGGAGGTCAGAGTGAGCGCGCGTTCCGTGGACGCCGGGAAAGAGCGTGGAGGATTCGGAATGGAGAGGGGCTGAGTTGCAGGGGAAAGGAGGGATTCGAACCAGGGGGGGGGGGGCTCGAGGGGGGGGGGATGAACCGAGGGGGGGACCCCCCCTCCTCAATTGCAAGTGGAGAGTCGGATCGGTGGGCGGGGGTCTCCTCTCAGGGGGGGGGGGGGGGGGCATGGGTTCGAACGGCCCCCCCCCCCCCGAGTTGCAAGCGGGGGCGTTCGAACCGGGGAGGGGGACGCCCTCCCTCTCAATTGTACTGGGGGGGGGCGGTGTTCAAACCGGGGTAGGGGGCCTCCCCCTTCTCTCAAGGGGGGGGGCGGGGGGTGTTCGAAGTGGGAGGGTCCCCCCGCCTGAATTGCAGGCAGAGGGTGGGTCAGGAGCGGAAGAAGGACGTACACGTACATGAATCCTCGCTGATTTCGAGGGCACGCATTGCGCGAATTGTCGTGTCACGCGGCCAGTCTCAGATCGAGGGGCCGTGTTCATGTACATAGTTTGACGCGTACGTCCTTTGTGGGTTCCCTAGTGGGGGTGTTCGAACCGCCCCCCCCGCATTGGCAACCGACGACGGCGAGCCCCTGCGCCGGCGCCGGCGCCAGCGGGGTCGGGCAGCGACGACGACGACGGCGTCATGGATGACGTCGACGACAGCGACGACGCCGACGACGACGAATCCGACGCCGACTCCGACGCCGACTCCGACGATGACGACGACGACGACGACGACGACGACGACGACGAAGACGACGACGACGACGACGACGACCACGACCACGACCACGACGACGACCACGACCACGACCACGACGACGACGACGACGACGACGACGACGACGACGACGACGACGACGACGACGGTGACGGCGACGGCGACGGCGGCGGCGGCGGCGACGGCGACGGCGACGGCGACGGCGTCGACGACGGCGACGACGACGACGACGACGACTCCGACGCCGACTACTAGGTTCGACCCTTATTATGCTGCGATTAAGGCCTGATCGAGCACTGGTAAGATTTTCTACGAGTTGGATCGAGCCCGAAATCAGAGTTGCATTCGCTATAGTCTGATTTGATGTCAGTTGGATTGAGCATTCTGAGCCCCAGACCTCTCGCTCGCTCGAGCAAGGGAACGAGGGGATCGACTTCTTCTTCCCTCGCTCTTTCGCTCGCTTGCTCGAGCGAGCGAGCACGCGAGCACCATGCATTCAATGCCACGCCCGCTCGATGCGACCCACATTTGCTCCAGCGAGCGACCGAGCGAGAGGACCCCCTACTTCCTCGCTCGCTTGCTTGCTCGAGCGACCGAGCGAGCAAACGAGCGCCATGCATTTCATGTCCCACCCGCCCAGCCCGACCCGCCCGACTCTCTCGCTCGCTTGCTCGAGGGAGCGAGCGAGCGAGAAGACCGACTCACTCGTTCCGTCGTTCGCTCGCTCGCATACTTGCTCCAGCTAGCGAGCGAGAAATTGAACATCATGCAATGAATGACCCGCCCGCCCAAACCGAACCGCCCGACCCGGTCGCTCGCTCGCACGTTGACTCGAGCGGGCGAGCGAGCGAGCAAGCGAACACCATGCATGTAGTGTCCCGCCCGCCCGACTCGCTCGCTTGCTCGAGCTCGCGAGCGGGCGAGCGAGCAAGCGAGTACCATGCGTGCATTTAATGACACGCACGACTCTCGACTGGTTACTCGAGCGATACTGAGCCTTCGAGCGAACGAGCGAGCCTTAGAGTAGCATCGAGCCTTGGTAGGAATTTATTTTTGGGGGGAGGGGGGGCAGTTCGAACCGCCCCCCGGTTCGAACCCCCGTCCCCCACTGCAGCTCGGGGGCCGGTTCGAACCCCTCCCCTCTTGGACAGGGGGGGGTGCGGTTCGAACATCCCCCCTAACCTTTGCAAATCAGGGCGGGGAGGGGGGGCCAGTTCGAGCACCCCCCCCGTGCAATTCGGGGGGAGGGGGCCGGTTCGAACCCATCCCCCTGTGGAGAGGGGTGGGGGCAGTTAGGGAGGCCGGTGTCCAGGGTGGGGGTGGGGGGGGGGGGCAGTTTCCAGGGGTATTCAATGTTTTTTGTTGTCCCCCCCTCCCCCGGTTCCAACGTGTCAGGGGAGTTGCTCCAGGCAGGCGTTCACGAAACGTGTTTTCTCCGAGCTTCGAATGCAATTATTGGATGGCTGGTCAAATGCAGCATCGGCGCTGGTTTATCCGTGGTCGACTGCTGGCTTACCCAGCAGACCCCCATCTCAATCCAGTTCAATTCAGCTTCATCTGGCTCGATGGCATGATGGCCCCCGAATCTGGTTGAATAATCGTTCTTACATGGACCTCCCATGTCGAGGTCTCCCCCCTTGACTTCTTGAGCCGGTCCCCCTCGTCGGTACCCCTCAGGAGGAGCCTCCACACAGTTCCCCCAAGAGGTCCAGCAACGAGAGCTCTGCACGTGCACCGATCCTGGCCAGGCCCATCCTGTGTCCAGCATGAGCCTGGCCAGGATCGGTGCACGTGCATAGTTCGCATTCTTCCAGGAGGGAGCACGGGGGACGTCTGGGGGATGCCCCCCCGCTTCCTCTCTCTCTCTCTCTTTTTTCTCTATCTCTCTCTTTCCGTCTCTCTTTCTTTCTCATGCCTCCTCCGAGGCGACGATGCGCCGCGAGCGCCCCCCCCCCCCCCCCCCGGCTGCGGCCAAGGTCTGGGTTGATCGCCGCCAGGCGCCCACTGCTGTCGCACAGGGCCACTTTCCTACGAAGCATCGGAGGCGTCGCGTAGCCGACGGTCGAGTCGAGCTGGCCCTCGCAGCGGTAGACGCGGAGGCTCTCCCGCGGCTCGTGCCATGGCGGGGACCGAGCAGGTGCACTTTTTCAGGAGCATTGCGTTGCGGCGTAGGCCCAGCCGAGCTCTTCGCGGAGGCCGGGCACCGCGATGGCGAACTATTGGTCGGCATCGACGACGTAGACGACGACGGTCGAGGTCGGAGGCCTTTTCGGCGAAGGCGGGTCGAAGGAGTCCTTGGCAAAGGTCGACTTCCAAGATTCAGCCTCATTGGCTTCGCAGGCGGGGTCGAACGTGTGGACGTACAGCCAGGATTTCGAGTAGAAGACGATGCCATCGCCAAGGCAATGCGCTGGTATTGGCTTTACAGGCCGCGTTGCAGATATCGATCGTCTTGCCGTTGTCATCCAAGATGGTGGACGTGATGGCCTTCTCGATATCCGAGACTGTCACGTAGATGTTGCCCCACGAGAAGACTTCGTCGAGGCAGACCTTCGAGATCACCTTGGAGTGGTGTGTGCCCTGGGAAACAAGCATGGTCGCGACGGCTGCCACGGCGCGGCGCAGTGCGCCACAGGACGGGAAGCTGGTGCAGCTGACGGCGCTATTTGGCAGCAGGCTCGGGCCAGGGCCGCGGTGCACAAGACGATGCAGAGTGGCTGCGACGAGGAGGCCGGAGGCTGGGCAATCCCTTTGCGCACGCATCTGGACGCCCGAAATGGGTACCGAAAGAATGGGTACAATGTCCAACAGCAGTTCCTGTTCATTTTGAACAGGCCTCGCTGTCCACGCCGCCGCGGCCTGTGTTCATTCGAGACTGGAGGCCGCCTGCCCAACAGCGACCGCTGTTGGTTTGGGACAACATTTGTTGTTGGGCATCGTACCCATTTTTTCGGTACCCATGTCGGGCGTCCAAATCGCAGAGGGGCAAGACTGCAGCGATGTGTTCTGGCGGAGAGCGCGAGCAGGTTGCAGAGGCGAACGCGCTCGGGCGCAGGGCGAGGCGTTCGGCCGCCGGGCGGCGGCTGCCGTCTGCCGCGGCGGTGCCGGGGGGCGGGCGCTCGCGGGGCGGAGCGGCGCCTCGGCCGCGGGCGGCGTGGGCGGCGGGGCTCCTGGCGCGGCGGTGGGGGCTGGCTCTGCCTGGGCGCCCTTGGCTCGGGCCGAGCGAAAGGGGGGGATTGGGAAAGGGGGGGTACGAAATTTGCTGCATGCAGCTGGTTTCGGCCTCACCGAGGGGCCCATTCCTCGATACATGGGCGCCTTCTGGCGCCGGGAGGCGCTGGGAGAATCAGCTACGAGAGCTGATTCTCAAACCCCCCCTTTGCTATCCCCCCTTTCGCCCGACCCGATTGGCACTCACCATGGCCCTCTGGGGGCGGCGGCCCCCGCACCGCGCGCCAGTGCTGCAGCATGGCCTCGTCTCCCGCGATGGTGGCGCCGACGGTGTCCGCCGTTGATCGCGACGTGGGGGAAGTGAGCGCTCGGCCACACCGTCCCACACTCCGAGGCAGCAGAGGTGGCACTCGTCACGGTGGATAGCCTCATAGAAGTAGCCGCTGCCGCAGACTGGTGTCCAGCGTCCAGCACGTAGGTGTCCGCGATGTGGATCAGCTCGGCCGGGGTGGCTCCGCCTAGTAGCAGTCTAATACGAAGGGCTGCGTGGTGCGGCGTGATGCCGCCGAGTTGGAGTCCAACGGCCACTGCTGGAGTAACGCCATGATGTCATTCAGGGCCCAGTCATGAATCGTCGAGGTGGATGCCGGTCTGTTTGGGCAGCCGCGGTTCGCTTTGGGGCGGCGACGTGCTTACCTCGGGACATGGCCGCGTAGCTGCGCCACCCATGCATCGAAGACACAGCGGCATAAATATAGACTTTCGGCGGTCCGCGCGGAGGCGGCGCCGGAGGCACCGCCCGGGGGGGCCAGCGCCGATCCAAGATCTCCGCGCGAACCGTCGAGAAATGACCTTCAGGCCGTTTCTAGTTTTTCCAGCGTCGGCGGGCAAGCGGCACGCCCATTCTGGCGGCGAGCCCAGGGGGCAATTGCAGAGGGGGCGGGCCTGCCCAGAAGGCTCGGAGGGCCCGGGCCCCTCTGAGAAGCTCTCGCGGCCCTCCCCGCAGGCACAGGGAACTCTTCCGCAGGCGCGAGGGCTTCTGAGAAGCCCCCGCCGCCTGCCGAGGAGGCCTTCCCCCCTCCCCCCCACACGCCTCGCCGCCGGCCCTCGCGCTCGGCCGAGCGGGGCCGCTGCGCTGGGGAGCTCCAGCGGCGGCGGGCGGCGGCTCGCAGGGGCCGGCACGGCACGCGGGCCCCTGGCGGGGCATGCCGGGAGGCCCTCGCGGGGGGGGTGGCCCTCGCGAGAGCCGAGGCTTGGCCGCCCCCCGCGGCGGCAGCGTGCGCGGAGCGGCCCGGCACCCCGAGCGCGCGCGCACGGCACGCGGGCACGGCACGGAGGCCCGGAGCGCGGCCGCGGCACAGTTGCCGCACCCCCCCGGGCGGGAGCGGCACGCCGGACGCAACCACGACGCGGCACGCGGGCAGGGCACGGCACGCAGATGGCGCACCGTGTGCACGTCAGGCCGCGGGCCAGACGAGGCACTCGGGCGCGGCACGATGCGCGGGCGGTGCACTGCTCGTGCTCCCGGAGGTGGCACCGCACACGGGCGGCACAGCTTTCGCCTTCGAGGAATCAGAAACCGGGTCTCGTCGTACAGAGAGGGCCCTCCCCCCATCTTCCCTTTCGCCTTCTGCTCCTCTCTGTCAGATGTCCACCCCCCTCCCGAATCGGCCCCCTGTCCCCATCCATGGCACGGCCGACCACTTTCGCGAGCCACGTGCAGCCGTGGCGTCAAGGCTCCCCCCACGGTCAGACGCTTCTCCCCGGTTCCTGATGGCATGTGAGTTCTCAGAACGCTGCCCCCCTCCCACTCCCCCAGGGCCGCTCGGCCATTGGGGGGGGGCTGATCAACCTAAAGCCATGCGACTCCTGGAGCACCGCTCCAGCAGTCGCCAGCTGCTGGGGTGGCACTGTCAACCCACATAGTAAGGATGAGCGATTTTCCAAGGCTGCCCTTGCACCCTTCCCATTCGGACCATTCTTGGCCGCTTTCGCTGGCCGCGCCCCGCCCGCAAAGTGCCTACAGGGCCTTCCAAGGCCCTTGTATCCTCTCCGCGCGTTCTTATCTTACGGGTTGACTGTAAGTGTGAACCGAGAGACGTTCCTCTCCATCCCTTCCTGTCAGGTCCCCCCCTTCATCCTCCCCCAGGCGACTCCTGGGGCACTGCTCCAGGAGTCGCTTGTTGATGGGGTGGTAAGTGTGAGAGTAGAACCGCTTCCTCTTGTTTTGACGTGGCACCCTGAGGGCGCAAAAGCCGTTACTGCGCTGGGACTAGTTTGGATCGTTGGGCTCGTCAGTCCGCTAATGAGCCCCAGATTGCAGCAGTGCTCGAGCGATCTACAATCCAGATACGGTGACAATGCAATCAAGATGCGGTGGCAATAAGATCAAGATCCTCCCCCCCTCCGCATCCTGCTCCTCCTCCTGCCCGTCCTCCCCTTCCTCCTCCTCCGTTCCCTCATCGTCCTCCTCGGGGCTGTCCGCCCCCCCCCCTCCCCCACCAACGGGGAGGTCGTCGCCGAGGCCGTCTCTCGAGGCGCCGCGGCGCGCCCCGCTGGGCGCGGCCCACGCGGAGGCGCGCCCGCCGCCAGCCGCCACCCCCTCCCCCCCTCAGCGGCGAGTGCTGCGACGACGGCGACGACCGCGACCACGAGCACGGTGACGACGGCGACGACCAAGCGACGACGATCGACGACCACGGCGACGAACAGGACGACGACCACGGCGACGACCACGACGACGACGACGACGACGACGACGACGACGTCGACCACGACAACCACGGCGACGAACAGGACGACCACGACCACGACCACGATCACGACCACGATGACGACGACCACGACGACCACCACCACCACCACCACCACCACCACCACTACGACCACGACCACGACCACGACGACGACGACGACGACGACGACGACGACGACGACGACGACGACTACGACGACGGTCGACCATCGACGTCGACGGCCACAGCACAATTACATCGACGTCGTCGTTGCGGAGGTTTGTGGGGGTCTGTGGGGGCTCTCGTCGCCACGGTGGACGCGGTTTGGAAATTTCGCCAGGACGGACCTTGGGAGATATCTCAGAGGGGAGGGAGAGGAAGCAGGGGGACTGGGAAGGGGGAAAGGGAGAGGGGGGGGGGCGGAGGGGGCGGAGGAAGGGAGGGCTGGAGGGAGGGAGGCGGAGGAGGACCGGGAAGTTGAGGAAGGAGGAGGGAAGCAGGGAGAAGGGAGTGAGGAGGAGGATGGATGGAGGGGTATGGTCTACAGGCATCTGGATCGAAGAGAAAGGAGGAGCAGGGAGCAGGGAAGAGGCGAGAGCGTAGGTTCGAATCGCCCGAGTCTCGATTCGCCTGGCTCGATTCTCCCGGCTAGGTTCATCTGGCTCCGGCCCTCGACGAGGCGGTGGCTGCCCCTCCCGCCGACCCGCCCGTCAGGGTCCGCACGCCCGACACCACACGCCCTTCAGGGTTCGCGCGTGCTACCTCGATGGCGTATCACTCTTTATGTCCCGCCCGCCCGACCCGACACGCCAGTTGGGGTCCGCCAGCCCGACCCGCCTGCTGGGTTGAGTTCGCCCGCCCAGCGAAGCGAGCCCAGGCGAAACGAGCACAGGCAAAACAAGCCCCGACGAAACAAGCTTGGCGAAACGACCCCAGGTGAAGCGCGTGCTACCTTGATGACGCATCAGAACTACTTTGATGTCCCGCCCGGGCCGCCCGCCCGACCCGACCTGGAGTGCGGGTCCGCCCGCCCGGCGAAGCGGAGCCCTGGCGAAACAAGCCCCAGCGAAACGAGCCACGGCAAAATTCCCAGACATGCGACGTCATGATTTTTTCAGGACGGCGTCCCTGGAAGTCCAGACCCTTTCCCCGGGGCCGGTTTTTCGTCATGACTCGTTTTCTGACGGTCCCGAGGCCCGGCGAGGGCCCCCCGGGGCCGAAAATAGCGAAAAACCTCCCGTCCTGATTTTTTTACCGACGCCATCATGTCTGGGTTGGCCACGGCAAAATTTGCCACGGCGACACGAGCCACGGCGACACGAGCCACGGCAAAACCGAACCCCCGGGGAGCCGAGCCCCGGCGAGCCGAGCATGGGCGCATCTCGAGCCGGGCGAGCCGGGCCCCCGGCGAGAGCGAGGCCCGGCGGAGCGAACCCCGGCGAGCCGACCCCCGGCGGAGCGAAGTTCCGGCGAGCCGAGTTTGTGCCGAGAAGAGGGGGCGGCGGGGCGAAGGCGCCCGGCGAGAGTTATGATTCGGGGGAGCGTAAGACCCGGGTTTGCCAGGACTCGGGTTCGCCATCGTAAGACCTGGGTTTGCCAGGACTCGGGTTCGCCATCGTTCTTTGATGACCGCGCCTCGGATTGTGACGAGCAGGAGTTTCGTGGGATGTCTGCAGCGGGAGGCCTCGTCAAAATGCAGGCTCGGCCTCGTCATTTTTTTGACGACCTCGTCGGGGAGTTCCGAGTCCCCTGTACCCAGGTCTTACGTCCCCCTGAATGATGTTCCTACAAATTTTAGCGTGGATATCACCAGGATGAATTCCGAGCACCAAACGAGAACCGAAACTCGAGGGTGTTCAGGTGTCGGGCCCTGGGAGACGCTCGCTCGACACTTGTTCGACACGTCTCCGGGTGCTCGAATTTTTTGGGGAATGTGGTCCTTAAGTACGATGGGAGCTAAAGTGAAAAAGAGCGCCTCCCTCCCCTGCTTCCCCTCTCCTCGGGCCGGCGCTTGCGGCGGCTGCGGCGGCAGCGGGGACGACGATTTTCTTTCATGGGCCGGCGCCAGGGCCTGCGGCGGCGGGCGGCGGCGGCAGGGGGCGTCGACGAGGACGGTGGTGGTGATGGTGGTGGGTTATGGTTGTATGTGGTGGCGGTGGTGGTGGTTGTGGTGGTGGTGGTGTGGTGGTTTGTTGTGGTGGTGGTGGTTGTGGTGGTGGGTGGTGGTGGTGGTGGGTGGTGGTGGTGGTGGTGGTCGTGGTGGTGGTGGTGGTGGAGGTGGTGGTGGTTTGGTGGTTTGTGGTGGTGGTTTGTGGTGGTGGTGGTTGTTTGGTGGTGATGTGGTGGTGGGTTGTGGTGGTATTGGTGGTGGTGGTGGGTTGTGGTGGTGGCGGTGGTTTGTAGAGGTGGTGCTGGTGGTGGTGGTGGTGGTGGCGGTGGTGGTGGTGGTTATGAGGTGTGGTGGCTTTTGGTGGTGGAGGAGGGTCGTGCTGCTGGTAGTGGTGGTGGTTGTGGCGTGGTGGTGGTGGTGGTGATGGTGAGTTGTGGTGGTGATGTTTGTGGTGGCTGTGGTGGTGGTTCGTGGTGGTTTTTGGTTGTGGTGGCAGTGGTGGTGGTGGGTTGTGGTGGTGGCGGTGGTTCGTAGAGGTGGTGCTGGTGGTGGTGGTGGCGATGTTTGTGGTGGTGTGGTGGTTTGTGGTGGTGGCGGTGGGTTGTGCTGCTGGTAGTTGTGGTGGTTGTGTCGGTGGTGGTGGTGGTGTTGTAGATTGTGGTGGCGATGGTAGTGGTAGTGGGTTTTTGTGGTGGTGGTGGTTGTTATGGTGAGTTGTGGTGCTGGGGATGGTTGTGGTGGTGGTGGTGGCTGTAGCGGTGGTGGTGGTGGTGGTTGTGTGGTGGGTTGGTGGTGGCAGTGGTGGTGGGTTGAGGCGGTGGTGATGGTGGTAGTGGTGGCGGTGGTAGTGGTGGTAATCGTCGCTGCGTCCCCGCCGTCGCCGGCGCCAGCGGCGGCGCTGCTGGCCGCCGCCGAGGCCGGCGCCAGGGGGGGGTTCAAACCACCCCAGCCACCCGCGCGTTAGGGGTTGGGGGGTGGGGTTTCAACCTCGGCCCCCCCTCCCCCCGCCGTCGGCGCTGCTGGCAGCCGCCAGCGCCGGCGCCTGCGCCGAGGAGCGGGGGGGGGTTTGACCCCCCCCCTTTGGGATGGAGGGGAGGGGGGGAGAGGTTCGGGAGGGGAGGTCTGGGGGGGAGGGGAGTCCCCCTGGTTTTGATCGACGGCGCCGAATGTTTGGGGGGGGGCCCACCCCCCGGTTCGAAACGCGCCGCCGAATGTTCTCAAGGAAACGCCCGTGAAACGCGTTCCCTCTAAGGCGAGAGACGGAACTGCCGGCAGAGTCAAGCGTCAAGGCAGGGGGGGAGGAGGCGAGGCTCCGTAGCCATTTGGTTCAAAGAGGAGAAGATCCACCTCCGTGTGGCCGCGCCACACTGGTGCGCAGCCTCTGGGAGGGGGGTGGGTAGTTCGGCTCGTGCTGCGGCCATCTGCGCGTCGATGCGGCTGGCGTGAAGCCACTTGCTTGCCCGCCGCTGGTCGTGGCCGTCTTCCCTTTGATCCTGCGAGGGCGCGGTGGCCCTGGTGGCGACGCTGGAACCCATGACGCAAGGTACCAGCCGAGGCAGCTGCCGTCAGCAGTCGGCGGTGGCAGTCCTGTTTGAATCAGCTGTTTCCAGGAGGTCGTATTTGCTGACGACCTCCATGCGTTCAGGTTTTTTTTTGTGAGTTCTGTAGCCGACAGCGCGATGTGTTGTATCTTGGCGCGTGTCAGCACAGCTTGCACGAGCGGGGCCGTGCAAACGGTGCGCGTTTGTTCCTAGCTGAGAACGGATAGCGCCCACATCCGATTGCGCAGTGCTCAGGTCGGCGACAAATTTGAAGATACTGAGCATTGCCAAATGCCATCAGCAGTCGGGGCTTGGCACAAGCGGTATTGTGAGCCTCGTCTGGTTTGCCCTGTCGCTGGTCGTGGCCGTCGTCCTTTGGATCCTGCCAGGATGTGGCGGCACCGGTGGCAGTGTGAAGACGGATGACGCAACCACAGAGCCCATGTCGATCAGGTCGGTCCGGTTCGATGTCGAATTCACGCGGGTCGATCTGGTTTGATCTCGATCTTCCACCGGTCGCATGCGGCCCGATGTTGTTGTTGTTGCTGGCACAGTGTAGTTGTGCAGTTTCGGCGCAGTCGATGCAGCCCGATCCGAGGTTCGTTATGATTCGGTCCGATATGTCATTTCATGGCAGATTGATCTTGCAAGTACCAACCAAGACAATTGTGTGGACAGGGCCCTCACCTGCTGAGGGCCCGACGCCGCGAAGGTCGTCTATTCGCTAGCGTTCTGCGTTTGATCGGGCCAGAGGGCGAGTGGGGAGTGGCTGTCAGAAACGCCTCCCAGTGGGGGCCACACAGGCCGAGTTCCTCCTGCCTCTTCGCACCCTGGCTGCAACGCTCGGCGCACCTGAACTGTCGCGTTAAAGCTGCGGCCGCTATTACGACGTGGGCTGCGGTTCTGGATATCCACTGAAAGGCAAACCAACGGGTGCACTGCACGACCAGTTGAACATTCGATATTGTCTGTGCAAATGCGCGAAGAGCACCGGCGGCCCAGGCCGCGAGAGATAGGGGTTGGCACGCCGAAAGGGGAGCTGAGACGACGCGCGCGCCCGCGCGCGCATCTGCGCGTCTTGCAAAAGCAATGCGCGGCGCATCATCTTGCCGGCTGGATTGAACATCCCCGAGGAGACGTTCAGATTTCATCGTCGCTGCCCGCCGGCGATCAGGACTTGCGGCGACGCG